CTGGGAAGGATCTTAGAACAGGGAATGTCAGAGCTGGGAGGGGACTTAGAACAGAGGATGACAGAGCTGGGAAGGATCTTAGAACAGGGAAAGTCAGAGCTGGGAGGGCCCTTAGAACATACAAAATCATAGCTGGGGGGGGAACTTTAGGGCAGAGAACATCAGAGATGGATTTAAATCTCGCCTTGGACACTTGATGAGTGACTCTGAGCAAGTTACTTAATCTCTTGGTGACTCAGTTTCTTAATCTGTAAAACTGAGGAGTGGGCCCCAATGATCTCTAAGTTCTCCTCTAGCTCTACCTCCAGGATCCTCCAACCCTTTCCTGGGTACTGACGTGATGGTAGGGGAGACACCGACATTTATGAGTTGTGTGACCACAGCTAAGTCACTTCTCTCTGAGCCTCACCTTCACCATTTGAAAAGCGATGATAATATTAGACCACACAGGGACATTGGGCAGAAGTTACACTAGAAACCTTAAAGCACTAGAAAAGTATGTCATTCTTACAGGCCACTAGGGGAGCACCACAGTGCCTGGAGCACTAGGCCTGAAGTTAGCAAGACCTGAGTTCAAATCCTGCCTCTTGACACTTACTAGCTGTGTGACCCTGGGCAAGTCACTTAATCTGCCTGCCTCAGTTTCCTCATCTGTAAAATGAAGAACATAACAGCACTCACCTTCCAGGGTTGTTGTAAGGATTACATGAAATCATATTTGTAAAGAGCTTAGCACACTGCCTGGCACATAGTAGGTGCTATATAAATACTAGGTACTATTAGTATTATTGTTATTATAGCCAGACCTGTGATTTTATTGGTATAGGGAACTCCCATATGGGGAAACTCCTTCCACTAATATAGATCAGGCCCTTCTCTGCAATTTCTGTTCTTAAAAACTTGCCTGGGCTCTTGAAAGGTTTAGTGCTGTGTCCAGGGTCACCCAGCTGGGATGTGCCACAGGCAGGACTGGAACCCAGGCCCTTGAAAGGTTTAGTGCTGTGCCCAGTGTCACCCAGCTGGGATGTGCTGCAAGTAGGACTGGAACCCAGGCCCTTGAAAGGTTTAGTGCTGTGCCCAGTGTCACCTAGCCGGGATGTGCTGCAAGTAGGACTGGAACCCAGGTCTTTCTGGAGCAAAGGCTGGTTGTTGAGCTGCTGCACCACACTACCTCTTTAGCATTCTCAGCATCTCCCCTGTCCAAACCATTCCTGCCCCATCTCCTTTCTCCTCTCTTGGGGCCCCAATTTCTGGGACACGAGACATCCTGGAGGGAGAGGAACAGCCTCAATCATCTTCCAACACCCGCCCGCCTGATCAAGCTTGCCAGCCAAGTCTCCCGGTCTCATGTCCCCTGGGGCTGATTCGTCATCTTCCTTGGGCCAGCCCTTGAGCACAGTCTTGGCTGAGGACGGGCTGTGCTGCCCACATAACTACCTTCAGAAAAACCCATCATTAGGAAGAATGATTTCAAAAGGCCCAGAACGGAGCATGCCACTCTTTGTACATGAGGACTCTGCTGGGAGGTGGGGTGGGGGCAGAGGTCATTACAGTGGGCTGACACCCAGGGGGACATGCTTCCTTGGTCCCTGCATCTCTTGTCTCTTGGTCCAACGTGCCCCAGGCTGGCACCTCACCCACCCCTCATACTCCAGACCAGCCTTATTAGCTTCAAAGTTGGGGGGAAGGTGAAAAAAGGGGTGATCTAAGCAACTTTCCTGCCTACTCAAGCAAAATTCGTGGTAAAGGGGAATAATTCCCTTTCTTGGAAGAAGCTTGGAGCTTTGGGTCAGGATTCCTGTGGCTCTCTCTAGAACTCTCACCCTTTTCCCCAAGCAGCTTGGCCCCTATCTGCAGAAGCTCTAGGCCCCTGAAGTATCTCCCCATCCAACCTCACCCTCTGCTGCTGCCACCTCATCTCTCTGGGGGCAAGAGGAGACGGCCCGGAGAGCCAGTCAACTGTTTTTGTCCCAGGAGAAAAAAATCTTAGTTATACCTTTAACTATGGGTCATAAGGTCACAGAATCCTAGATTTGGGGCTAGAAGGAACCCCAGAGGTCATCTAGTACAGCCTTTTCATTCTACAGAGGAGGAAACTAAGGCCCAGGGAGGGGAAAATGGCTTGCCCAAGGTCATAGTAAATGTCCGATATAGGATCTGACCCCACAACTTCTGAGTTCAAGTCCAGGGCCTGGCCAAGTCTTCAAGTGGAGGCCAGAAAGTCATAAGTCAGAGAAGTTAGAGAGGATTACTGTTCACAGACTGACTGAACCCACAGATCAAAGGAAAGTGGTCATTACAGTTTACCCTGACTATTGCCAAGCCTTTGATAAATTATCTTGCACTATTCTTATGGAAAAGATGGAGTGTGTTGGGGGGAGTAGGGTGGAGTTGACATGGCCCAATGAGATGAAGTCTGAGCTGCATGAACCAGCAATCTCACTGAGTAGTCATTAAAAGTCCAATATCAGCTTGGCAGGAGGTATCCAATGAAATGTCCTAAGGATGTGTGCTGGGCCCGGGCTATTTAACATTGGCAGCCACGCTTTAGATAAAGGCATGGCTGAGCTGGCAGCCTTATCAAAATTGCAGCTGACTAAGGTGGGAGGGAGAGATAGAGGGATGACAGAGTCTGGATCCAAAGAGATTTCAACAGGTCAGAGAACCTGGCTGAATCAAATGAAATGAAACAATGGGGGTCAAGGTAAAGTCTTGCACTCGAGTTCGAGAAAATCACTTCAAAGACACAGAATGATAGAGATGTGGTTAGATGCTGGTTGGTCTGAAAAGAGAAATCAGGGGCTTTTAGCGGATTGCAAGCTCCACGGGAGTTAGCAATGCAACGTGGCAGTGGATGCGGATGCGAAACGGTAGCAGTGAAGTCTAACGTGAGCTTCGGTTACCTTGGGAGAGTCAAAGCTGGCTTCTAGGGATATGGCAACGAAACTCCCTCAGCCCTTGGCCCTGGGCTTGGACCTCACCTACAGTTCTGGGCTCTCTCATGGATGCCAGGACACATCCAATGGAGAGTGGCCAGCGTTGAGGGGAATAGAAAGCCTGCTATGGGTTGAAGGTAGTGCTTAGAAATGCTGGAAGAAGGGTTGTCGAGTGGATGAGGGATTAGCTTGGTTCTGCTTGTCCCCCTGGGGCAGAGCAAGGAGCAGTGGGGAGAAATTACAGGGAAGCAAATTCTTGCTCAGTGGACAGAGGAGCATGGGCCCCAAGCTGAAGGGACTGCCAGCGCTTCAGGCAGAGGCCAGACAACCATTTGTCAGGGATGTAATAGGGGACGTTCCTTCTGGGGAAGGGTTCGACTCCACGTTCCCTGAGGTCCCTTCCAGCTCTCCAGATCTGTGATACATCTTCCCAATGGAAAAAAGAAGGCTTACATTATTTATTTCATGGGCTTGATGTGTAAAAAGTATACTGTGGGCCTTACAGACCTACAGAAACACCAAATGACATTATTATTATTATTATATCATAAATAGTATAGATAGTCAATAGGATTAATATAACAACACAATTATCCATGATATAATTATGGATAATAACAATAAGTAATAATCATCTCTATAAGAGTACAGCCTTGACTCTTCAACACTGGCCAGGCGTGGGCACTTATCTACCTCAAGGAGGAGGGAGCAGGCCCAAGAAAGGAGGAGCTGATAGAAACTGGCTTCCCAAATAGGGTCCTGATGTCAGCATCCTCCCCAGGATTATTTTTAGCCAAGGGTGTCTGGCTGGGACCTCGAGAAGGGAAGCTGCTACGTGGGAGCCACTTATATCCCCAAGGTGAGAGCAAGCTGTTAAGGTGATAGTGATGGTGATGGTGGCAGATCCTGCCAGCTCCCAGGGGCACATATCTCACCCCAGACCTATAAATAACACCCCTCACACACATCCCCTTTGCGACTGGAGATTAACCCCATCCCTACTGGGCCCTCTACCGGAGACCTTTGCCAGCTTCTGGTGGGCATAAGGGTAGTAGTAGCTGACCAAATGCTAGGAACAGTTTCTGCTTTTCCCCAGGGCCAACAGAGGCCTGTGGAGAACATGCCTGTCAACTTCGGGGGAAGGAAGGAATTTGGAGTGAGCCACAAACTTCAAAGCATCTCAGCGTTAAAATGGCCCTTACCAGAATGCCAGAGCTGGGAGGGCCCTTAGATGTTTCTTAGTCTAATCCACTCACTCTATGGAAGAAACTGAGACACAGGAAAGGCAAGGAACATGCCCAGGGCCACACAGGAAGCAGCAGTGGTAGGACAAGGGTCAGATCTTTTGAGCAGAGGCGTGGCCACTGAACTGTGATGTGCTGGGCTCCCTTCCAGCTCTCACATTGTCTCGGGGCTCAGTTTCCCCATCACTCTCCTTCACCTCTTCCTGAGTTCTGGGAGAGGGGGAGGGAGAAGGTTCCATCCATTAATTCCTTAGCCTCTCATCTTCCTATAATACTAGGCAAGAATCCAGAGGCTAAGTAGTGCCCCTCTCCCCAGCACCCAGGAAGGGAAGTCTGAGGCCCATCCCACTGTCCTCCACCTGAGTTCTGTTGGGTTGCCCTCCACTCTTCCAAGCCCTGCCCATCCTTCGAGGCTCAGTTCAAGCACCACCTCCTTCAGGAAGCCTTCCCTGACAGCTCTTGCCTCCCCAGATCACTCTGGAGACCCCTCTGAGGACCAGTCTCTAATCATGAAACACGTGGGTTTGTCTCTAACTTAGCTCCATATTTCAAGATCCTGTGATTTCTTTTTTTCTTTTCTTTTTTTTTTTGGCTAGGCAATGAGGTTAAGTGACTTGCCCAGAGTCACACAGCTTAGTGGCAAGTATCTGAAGCCGGATTTGAACTCAGGTCCTCCCGACTCCAGGGCTGGTGTTCTATCCACCATGCCACCTAGTTGCCCCCAAGACCCTGTGATTTCTAAGTGGGCATTCACCTACTCATCCAGGCTGCCAGAGGCATTCTCTGTCTTCACGTGGGGTATCCTGAATTGCTGTGGCCATAACCAAATTCATCAGCTGATAGCCAACCTTCTCGAGATAGGCCTTTGCTTCCTGAGTTCGTCACCCTGGTTGGTCACCAAATAAAAAAATGGTAAGGCTGTTAGGAACCTCAGAGGCCATTTAGGCTATGCCCCTCTCCCCTTTTACAGAGGAGGGAAACTGAGGCCAAGAGAGAGGAAGTGACTTGCCCAAGGTCACACATGGGATCATAGATCTAGGGTGGGAAGGAACCTTAGAAGTCATCTAGTCTGACATCTCTCCTTCTCATTTCACAGAAGAGGAAACTGAGGCACAGAGACTGATTTGTCCAGCTAGTAAGTGACTAAGACAGGATTGGAATACAGGTTTCTAGACTCTAAGTCCAGGGCCCCATCCACCTGTGCCATCGATGATCTTGAGCAAGTCACAGCATCTCTGAATTCCAGCGTCACAAGAGTCCCCCTTCAGACGCCATCTGGTCTCAGCTTACCTCCAAGGGAGGGGGCAACCAAGACGACCCATCCCATTTTGAGGATAGCTCTCACTGTTAGAACGTTCTTCCTGACATCAAGCCTACACTGGTTGCTCTCTACCTTCCCCCATTTCTCCTGGTTCTAGCCTCTGGGCCAAGCAGGCTCATCCCTCTCCTCCATACAATATCCCGTTAGATACTTGGAGAAAGCACTCATGTGCGCCCCTCTGAGTCTTCTCTGGGTGAAACCCACCTAGTTCCTTTGGCTGATCCTAATAGGATGTCCTTCACCATCCTGGGCGCCCTCCTCTGAACACTCTGTATGTGGTAATATAACAGAAAAATGCACTGGACCTGGAATAGGGGGCTGAGTTCAAATCTTAGCACTGTGTGACCTTGACAAAGATCCCTTCCTTCTTCTCAATGAGTCATAAAACCTTTATTAAGTGCCTACCGAGTGCCAGGAAGCGTGCTAAGGGCTGGCAATACAAAGAGAGACAAAAGACTGCCCCTGCCCACTGGAAGCTTACAATCTAAAGGCTCCCTGGAACCTCCATCTCTCTGCCTCTAAAATGGAAATGGATAATGCTATAGCATCACTGCCTAGGTCACGAGGTTGTAGTGAGGAAAACCCTTTGTACACCTTATATCAAAATATGTAAATGGAAATTATTATTCTAGGCTCTCTCTCTCTCTCTCTCTCTCTCTCTTTTTTCATCTGGCCAGATGTGGGATCTCATTGGTGTGAGGAGCTCTCAGAAAATAAACTCCCTCCACTAAGACCTCTCAGCTCCTGCTCTCCAACTTTGAGGCTTCAAGTTGGGCCTGAGTCACTGAAAGGGTCAGGAACCTGCCCAGGGTCATGCAGCAAGGACCTCTCACAGGCGGGACTCGAACCCAGGCCCTCTTGCCTCTAAGCCTGCTCTCTTTCCTGCCACTCTGGGTTCTGCTGGATCTCCACCAACCACTCAAACTTTCCCTCTTCTGGTGAGTCATCATTTCTTACACATACTGGCTCTTCCCCTCATAGCCAGGAAGCCCAAGGCCAACCCTAAATGTCCGCCTTGGCCCTCCTCAGAGAAGGCTGCTTTTGGCACTTTGCTTTCCACTCAGGGACTGGGAGTCATTCCATCCCCCAGAGGGATTTGCATTTGAAAAAATCTGGTCCCCATAGTCCAAGGACCTGGGATCAAATTCTACCTGTTACTTCCCAACTCTGCAAACTCTCTTCCCCTATCACTCCCCTACCTAAGGCCTCAGCTTCCTCCTCTGTAAAATGAGGGAGTTGGTTTAGATGACCTTGAAGGTCCCTTCCAGCTTGAGAGCTAAGAGCCCTGGGCCTAGACTCAGCAAGTTGTAGCTCAGTCCTGTCCCACTCTTCGTGACCCCATTTGGGGTTTTCTTGGCCAAGATACTGGAGGGGTTTGCCTTTTCCTTCTCCAGCTCATTTTACAGATGAGGAAACTGAGGCAAACAGGGTGGAGTAACTTGCCCAGAGTTGACTCCAGGCCCGGCATTCTGTCTACCTAGTTGCCCAGGAATCAAGAAGACCTGAGTTCAAATTTGGCCTTAGATACTTACTAGCTAGGTGACCTTGGGCAAGTCACTTCACCTTGGTTTACCTGTTTACTCAAGTATAAAATGGGGATAGTAACAGCACCTACCTTGCCGGGTTCTTGTGAGGATCAAATTAGGTAATATTGGTAAAGCACTCACTCAGCACGGTCCCTGATACATGGTGGGTGCTACTCAATGCAAGCTATTACTACTAGGTATTATTGGGGGAGGGGAGGGACCCTCCTTTTAGACCTCAGGCTACATCTTGGCCCACACAGCACAGGGTCCAAAGCACCAAGACCTGAGGGAACCTACCTGGGTTGAGAAGCAAACGTTTCCTCCAGCCCACCTGGTCCAGCCCCATAGGGATGCTCTGAGAAAGGGGTAAAGAGTGGCATCGATCCAAAACCTTGAAGGGCGGTGGTGATGGTGATGGGTGAGGAGGGTGGCAAGATGGCTGAAAAGCAAAGACATGTCTGTTACTGATCTGTTCCCAAGTCTAGTGGGTGTGAAGGTAGGGGGTGGGTAAGGGGTGAGAGTGAGGGTAGGGAGGTGAGGGAGGCATCTAAAGCAAAAGGAAAATGGCGGGGACACAGCCTGGGAGAGAGGAGTGAGCCCTGGACTTTGAACCACAGGGCCTGGGGTAAAGCTACGGGGCTCTGCCATTCTTGTCACGGCACCTCCTTTGGCCCCTTAGCTTTCTGGGTATGATATGGGGGTTAGGCTCAATGGTCCCTCCCAGCTTGTAGGCCTTATCGCTCCTATCCATATACAGTTATCCCCTCCCTGGGGGGGGGGGCAGGTTAGGGATGCAGGACCCCCGCGATCTAGAAAATCCACATAAAATTTTTTGGCCCTCCCTTTGTACCAGAGAAGTGCTCTGAATTAATATGGTATTAAAGGATAACATGTTGATATTATATGATATTATATGTATATTTTTTGCATTTCTGAGTTTCTAAACATTTTCCTGGGTCATCTGCTGGTCTTCACGTGTTGTCTGGGGCTTCCGCAAAACTCCCCCCAAATTCCCATTTACTGTCTTATGCCGACCTGCGATACATCAAAACCCCAAGGAGGAAAGTAGCGGCGTGGAAGGGATAACTATATACTCATCTAGATTTTGTAGAGCTATGAGAGGCAGGATGGTGGAAGGGATAGAGCTGGCCTCCTGGTGAGGAAGGCCTCAGCTCAATTTCCCCCATTGGCACATACTAGCTGTGTGACCAGGCCAAATCGCCTAACCTCTCAGTGCTTTAAGCAACTCAGATTAAGTTCCAGATTGGGAGGGGTGCGACGTGCCTTGGGGAAGGGTATTTCCTAACTGGGAGTCCCTTCCATCAAAGCAGTCACAGGCCCAATCAGTATCACTTGGATTCTCAAAGCTCTTTGGCATCTAGTATCTCTTTCACTTTTCACAAAAGCCTTGAGTTATCGCCACCCCCCCCCCCCCCTTTACAGAGTGGATCCTTAAGGCCCCAAGTAGGGGAGTGACTTGTCTGAGTCAGTGAGTCAGAGAACTGGGATTGAGACCTAGGCCCCCGACTCTACTATTTGGCTTTCTGTTAAACTTTCTGGAAGGCTGCCTCAAGTAGAGGGAGATTATTAACAGATTCAACTATTATTAATTCTCCTACAACATACAATAGAGGCCTCGTGGCTTCCGAGAGGGAAGCACTGATCTCTTCCTACCTGCTTACCTTATGGGGCCTAGGCTTTGATGTCACCAGCACAGGAAAGCCAGGGTTTCTTGCCTTCGAGGAAGAATCTCTATCCACCATGCCATCATGCCAGGGTTAGGAACTCAGAACAACAACAAATCTCAGTTCTTTCTGTCAGCAGGACTTATTAAGGAACTTCTTCATAATAACCCTCAGAACTAAATTGCACAAATGTCATTAACCCATTTTACAGATGTGGAAGGGGGGTCCAGAGACGTCAAGTGATTTGCTGAAAGTCCCAGAGCCAGGGACTACTAAAGCTTCTCTCTCACTTGGGTTCCCTGACTCCAAACCCAGAGCTCTTTCCATTATCCAGTGCCAGAGTAAGTTCTGTGTAAACCATAATGCCCTAAACATATAACTTCTCACTAATTTTACTCTTATTTTAACTGAGAACTTTTGTTTTTTGCATCACATTCATTTCTGAATCTATCCCTTCCCCAGAGAGAAATGAATCAGGTTTAGCAAAACCAAGCCACGCACCAACCATGTTGGACAGTGTATGCAGAATTCCACACCCATAGACCTCCACCTCTGAAAAAAAGGAAGTACATTTTTTCATCACCTTTCTAGGGTCAAGTTTGGTGACCTGTTTTTATTAAGAACCCCTTCACACCAGTAGTTTTCATTTGGGGACCCAAACTCCTGCTATGGTGGAAAGAGCTGAGAGAAATGATTATTAATAACCAATAATTTGGGAAGATCCAGAGTCCCCCTCCCCCTTTTTCTAAAGTCCCAATTTTAAAAGTTAAGTCTCTTAAAGCACATTGCTGATAATGAGATTGGACTAACTTTCTTGTTCAGACCCCACCCAGGTGGGGTAGCCATTGTGCTCTACTCAGGTTTGGGTGGGGATAAATTCTTTGAATGAGCTGCCCAAGGCTGGGACTAACTTAAGAAGTAGATGATTTAATCAAAGTTCAAGTCTGGAATATTCATTCTCTCATTAATTGTCAACCAATCAGAGTTGACTGGCACCCTGGGGAACACCTACTCTTCAAAGAACATTAAAAAACTGTGCGCCAGCGCCATGATTGTCTTTGGTGTAAGACCATCCTTTTATTAAAATACTGGCATTATTAATTAAATGACTAAATTACCCAGCAATTATGTCTCTCGAACCTTTTTAATCGCCACAGAGCTCTGGTTCAAAAGACAGAGGACCATTCCCAGACACTTACTATTTGTGAGAGCTTGGGCAAATAACCTTAACTCCCTGGGCCTCAGTTTCTTTCTCTGTAAAAATGAGGGACGCAGAGCGAGAGGGAGCAGATGGCCATTAAAGTCTCTTTTAGTTCAAGACCTATAATCTAGGAGCAGTTAGTGAAAGGTCCAGAGAGGCAAATACTGGCTTGATTTCTGGGCAAAGTGGGAGGGTCACTCTCGGGAGGTGATGGGCTCTCCTTCCCCAGGGGGGCTTCAAGCAGAGGCTAGGTGGGCACTTTGGGGGGTATATTATATGAGTTGAACCAGGCAGCCACTGGGTCCCTTCCTCCAGCAGCAAGAAAATTCTGTAATTCAGATACTTGACATCCTGTGTCCTAAGGGCCCTTCCAGCGCTGCTGACATGCTCTGACTCCATTTGCTGGAGACTGGCTTTGGCCACAGTGCCCCATTACGGCCACTTGATGTGATCAACTTCCTTAATGAACTCCTTGTCACCCAACTGAAAGACCTGTCTGGCTGTTCTGGGCACTAGGCCTTGAGAGCCTAATGAGATTATAAGCTTCCTAAGTGAAGGGAAGAATGTGACTTGTCTTACTCGGGAGTCGCATCCCCAGGGCTCATTTTGTAGTCAACAGCAAGTGTGCAGAGGCATCACAACGGCCTTCACGGCAACCAGATGCTTGACTGGAAATAAGGACACCTGGGTTCAAATCTCAGCCCCAAGACTCAGTATCTGTGAAATCCTGTGTCAGTCACAACCTGGCAGGGCCTCTGTTTCCTCATCTAGAAAAAAAAAGGAAAAATAGCCTCTCCAATGTCTACAGGATGTCCCAAAAGTCTCAGTGCAGTCGCAAGCCTTAATAGCTAAAAGCGGCTAAGACTTTTGGGACACTCTGTACAGGTGTGCAAAGCATTTTACATGAATCATCCTCACAACAGACTTGGGAGTCTGTTGGGTGATTATTATCACCATTTTACAGACCAAGAAAACTGAGACTCACAGAGGTGACTTGCCCAAGGTCACACAGAGACCCAAGTCTCCGAGGGAGAATTTGAACTCCAAATACTGCACCATCTTGGAAGAATAGAAAAATAGGTGTGTTCCTTACCTCACAGGGCTGAGATAAGGGTTTTGGAAACCTTAAAAGGCTGAAGAAATACGAGTTGCTTATGTTTACTATTGTTATTGTCATCATCATCATCATCATCATCATCATCATCATTACCATTCAACATTCAAAGCCTCGATCACAGGCTATAGAGCTACAAGGGACCTGATGAGCCATTTAGTCCAACCCTTTCATTTTACAAATGAGGAAACTGAGGCCTGGAGTAATTAAATGACTTGGCCAAAGTCCCACAGCTAGTCAGTAGTCATTCCAGACCATAATGACCTCTTCCTTCTCTGAACTCCCTTAGCCCTGAAAATCTGTGGGAAGCTCTGACATTCTGTGTTCAAATGGCTCTTTCTCTATTCATTTCTAGGTTCCACAGTGCATTGGGAAGCTAGTGAACAGCCAGAGGAGGGTAAGTTGGATGGTTGGGACCCGAGATCTGGAGAAGGAAACTGAGGCCCCAGGAGGGGAAGGGACTTGCTCAAGGTCACTCAGGTACTAAGCAGTAGAGATGAGATTTGAACTCAGGTCCTTAGTCCAAAGCCATTGTTTTGTCAATCGCATCCCACAGATTCTCAAGGGTCTCAATAAAGGAACTGGTGATATTTTGCTTGGAGAACATAAGACACATGGATAGAGCAACCTGAGAACTGTCTTCAAGTATTTGGAGGACCAGAATGCAGAAGAGGGATATAATTTATTCTACTTAGTCCCCAGAGGGCATAATTCGGAGCAGTGGGTGGTTATGAAGAGTCTATCTGGGGAAGGACACTCAGACTTCAAAATCTTTTTTTTTTTTTTTTTTTTTTTTTGGCGAGGCAAGGTCACACAGCTAGTAAGTGTCAAGTGTCTGGTCTGAGACCAGATTTGAACTCAGGTCTTCCTGACTCCAGGGCTCATGCTTTATCCACTGCGCCACCTAGCTGCCTCCGGATTTCAGAATCTTAACCACTGAAACGACCTGCTTTCTACCCAGGGACGGAGTACACCTAACAAGGGATTTGTATTCCTGGAGTTGGGACAGTCTGATTCAAAAGTCTTTAAAGGAAGAGGAAAGACAAGGGAAAAAGTAACTACATCCACATAGCCATCACACTAGGAACCCAAGCCAGTTCACAAAACCCACGGCCTCATGTCTGCACCCAAATGCCCAAAGCAAAGCAGAACCACTAGGAACCCAAATGTAAGGTGGGAAATTGTCCTCAGAAACATCAATGATACTTGGAGGCACAAGACCCAGGCTATGGCTTCAGAAAGATACAGCTTTTCCAAAGAAAGAGGATATAAGCCAAACATACTTAAAGGATGCACAAATATATTTAAACAAATTAAGTATAATTTTAAAAACTCAAAAGGAACAGGATGGATTTAGAAGGGGGAGAAAGAGGGAGAGGAAGAGTATGGTAGAGTTAGCATGACACAGAAGAGAGATTAGAGCTGGACTTGGAATTAGAAAGATTTGGGTTCAAATCTTGCCTTAGATATGTCCTTGTTGTGGGACCCTGGGCAAGTCACTTAACTACTATGAACATGAATTTCCTGATGGATAAAATATTACTAAGAATGACAGCATTTTTCTCCCAAGGTTGTTATGAGGCTCAAACGAGCTAATGTATGTAAGATACGTGTTGTAATCCTCAAAGCACTAAAGAAATGTCAGTCATTACTACAATAAGTTCCAAATAGACTCTTGACCTTATAAAAAAAGCTTATAACAAGTCACAGCATTCAAAAAAAATGGAGGAGAGCAGAAGAAAGCAGAAAGGAAGTACCTTTCACAACTGTGAGTGGGCAGAATAAGGGTAGGGGATTCTTAACCTAACAACGGATAGAAGTGATCATAAAATACACAGCAGACAATTTCAATGACATCAAATTTTTTAGATCTTGCATAAATTCAGTGCAAATAGGAGAGAAAATATTAAGTGGGGGGAAAATCCTTCAGTTGTCTCTGATTAAAAGTCTGATATCTAGGCTATATAGAGAATTGACAAAAATATGTAAGACCAAGCAAGACAGGTCACAAATAAAAGTGGCCAAAAGATATGAACATAAATTGTTCTTTGCTTTTTGAGACTGGGCCTGCCTGTCTTGTCCAGGCTAGAAGTGCAGGGGACACTCATGGCTCAGATCCCACTACTTATGGGCACAGGAAACTTGACCCGCTCCATTTCTGAGCTGGACTGCTTTGCCCCCTCCTTAGGCAACCTGGTCTCCCCACTCCTTGGGCCTTCATCAGATTAGTGTCAGACTTAGCGCAGCCATCCAATTGGCCTAGCCAGCAGCAGCTCAGAAAGTCCTAACTCAAGAAACCTGCCAACCTCAGCCACCCTGGTAGTAGGGATTGCAGGTGGGTACCACCACATCTGACTCGCAAAAAGTTTTTAAAAGAAGAACTGTAAACTACTAATGAATATATGAAAACTTTGAATTATACATTGCTCATGATAAGGTACAATGCAAATTACAACAATTCTGAGATTTCACTTCCTACCCATCAGATTGGAAAAGAGGACAAAAGATAGGAAGAGTCAACATTGGAGAGACTGTGGAAAGAAAGGGTCATTGATACATTATTGGTGGAGCTGTGAATGCTAACAAGATTTAGGAAAGCCATTTGGAATCATGGGAAAGAAAAGTGACTAAACTGTTTGTACCCTTTGACCTAGAGATCCCATTACTTGCATAGTCCAACGCGAGACCCCATATGAGGGTCACGCTGAAGGGGTCACGAGTAGAAAAAGTTTAAGAAGCCTTGGCATAGACTACACCGAGAGGTATGAGACAGAAAAAAAAAACGTCATCCACTCCAAAATATTCAGGGCAGCACTTTCACTGGTAGCAAAAAACAGGAAGCAAAGTATCTACTCATCAACTGGGAAATGGATGAATAGAACAAAATGTTATGACGCTGAAAGAAATGACAAATGGGAAGAAGTCAGAGAAATATGGAAAGATTTCCATCAGTTCACATGAGCAAGTAAGAAAAACCAGGAGAACAATATGTGTAATATTATTGTTGTGATACAACAATAAAGTAAATAAAATGAACATGAAAAAGAAGCCAGACACCAGTACTGGTTCCAGAGAACAGACGTTGGAACATACCTCCCTCCTTAACGAAAATTTCATTGTCAACGAGGGGAACATTCTGCATCTGATTCATGCCAATGAGGAGGAACCATTCGATAAAGTAGAAATGGAGAGAAGCTTGAGGGGAAATGCTCACTTAAGTTTGGAGTCTGTGATAGAGGAAAGGAAAGTCTTCGTCTGCCTGACTACACACCCTAGATTTGGGGACAGCAGATTTTGAAACATTCAGAGAAAGGAGAAATGGGATCTCATGGAATAAAACCTAGAGAGGACATCAGCCCAGAAGGAACAGGAAGCTCTTGGGAATTCAATTCTGAAGGCATATGGAGAAACAGTTCCAATAAGGGAAACGGAGAGATGTCAAGAGATAGATATGGATGCGCAGAGAACTCATAGACCACCTGAAAACAGGTAGACGGGATGACCGAGTCACTCTTAGTGACCTTTGAAAGCTCATGAAGACACCTCCTGACCAAGGCAATAAACTCAAGGTGCAGAATGAGGTATTTGTCTTTGGACATGGCCAAGGTGGGAATTTGTGTTGCTTCTCTATGCAAGTCAATTACAAGGATTTCATTCTTCTTTGGTTGATTTTGTTTTTGTTTTTTCCCGTCATTCTCTAGCTATCGAATAGCTCCCAACCCATGCCACACTTTGTTGGAATTCAGCTTTTTCTATGCTTGACCCTTGTTCCTGTCAGGTAGGGCCTGGCATCCTGAGGAGAATATAGACTGCAAATCCCTGTGGTCCTCAAACACTTGCATCTCTTTAACCATCACTGACAACCCATGAAGTTCCCCAGGCAGCCAGCAGATGGCAGAACTAGACAGCTTCGAATACTACAGGATTTGCAGAATGTTCATGGCTACACTTGGAACAATTGGTGTGGGGGGGGAGTGGGGGGGGGTTATGGTTGTAATTAAATGGAACAAAGGTTAAAATGAGAAGGACCTGTCCAGCATTATCTCCTATCAGTTTTCTCCCTCATACTACGCTGTAGTCAAAGTAGACCTTTTTCTGAACCCCTGACTATACCATCTACCCTGACTTTGCTAGTACTGTCCCCTCTGCCTGGAATGTTGTCCCTCCTCTTTGCCTGCTGAATTCCTGCCTAGCTGACAAAGGCTTGATCAAATGGCAACTCTTGCAAGAAGCCTTCTTTGATTTCCCCTTGTCCGAAGCACAGTACAGAAGGAGCCTTGGCTCTGGAATTAGAGGACCTGTGTTCAAATCTTGCCTCTAACACACATTGTGTGACCCTGGGTAAATCACTGAACTCCTTAGTGTACCCAGGTGACTCTTTAAGACTTCCAGATTACAAAAGGTGCCAATGTGCTGGTGCACTGCATTGAGCTCTGGGCCTGGAGTCAGGAAAATCTGAGTTCATCTGGAGTGCTGAGTTTCATTTGGGGCACAGCATCTTAGGAGGGCCATGGACAAGTGGGAGCACGACCAGAGAAAGCACAGCCAGGATGTTTCGGGGAATAGAGACTGTGCCACACAAAGTTCAGTTGAAAGGGCTGGAGAAGAGAAAATTCAGAGGGGAAATAAGAGCTCTCTTCAAGTATTTGAAGGGCTGTCACAAGGAAGTGGGATGAGCTATGTTCTGGTTGATCCCAGAAGGCTGAGCTAGAACCAGTAGGTGGAAGATTGAGGGGAGTGTATGCTGGTTCCATGTCAGGAAATACTTGCTAAGGATTAGAACTCTTTGGAAAGAGGTATGGGCTGGGTAGGCAGGTAGAGCTCTCCTTATTGCAGGCCTTGATGGCTGGGTGCCCAATGGTCAGGTTGAACACTCCTGCTCCTTGACTGCAGAACTTCTGGGGTGCTTTCCACCTCAGAGATTCTGAGAGTCTGTTATGCTTACTTGATCAGTTGCCTCCACAACCATCAACTCACCTACTCCAAGCTTCATAGCTGACCCTTTGTCCAATTCATAAAGGAAGACCACAGTCTCGGGAAGGAAAATTCCAGTAATAGTTGCATCCCTTGCTCCCTCACATCCTCACATAAGGAATATTGCACTAGCTGACCACATTCAGACCTCCCCAAACATATCAGGGTAGCAGAATGCCCTAGCATTTCCCCTCCTGCTCTCCAAACCCAACCTATGCATAAAGGCCAAGGCTTCTAGTCCCACTTCCTTCAGGATGCCTTCTTTTTTTCTTTTTTTTTTTTTAAGCAATCTCTTTTTTCTTTCTCTAATAGCTCCTACCATTCATTGGGCACATCTTTGTCTATTTCTTAATTGTTCCATTAGTGAGCATCCTGAGGGAGACATGTCTTCTTCTTCATTGCCATGGTACCAAGACCACTGATGACCAGGGTCTGGTAGGAATGCCCAAGGGGTTAGAATGTCCCTGGTGCTGATCTTGGGATGATCACTGTCACCCAAACCTTCAGTGAACACTGCACCTAAGGCTCCAGAGAAAATCAGGGATAAATGCACCAGGTTGTCATAGACAGAGACAGACAGACACATGGCAAAAGCTACCCAGATAACCATGCTCCACAGACTGGCCCTTCTGCCTGCTCTCTTTTGAAACACCCAGTTCTACCACCATGCTCTAATTGGCTTCTCCTGCTCTTCACTGTTGCCTTCCTTGCCCCCACTCAATAGACCAGACAACTCCTGGATTGAAAAGAGATTGAATTTCTCTCCCTCACAGTGTGGCCTGACATGCAGTTTTGACTGGTCTGACTGGATTTCCGAGGGGAGGAAAACTCATCATTTTAGGTTGGCTTAGGGGCATCCTTGCAAAGAGGTAGGGAAAAAAAAATAGATGACCATCAGAAGTTCCTTCAAGGCCTAAAGTATTAGCAAATGGACAGGATTTGGAGAGGTCAAGCAGAATGGGGGGGGGAGTTCTAGGAGGTTTTAACACCGAAGGTAATGCTGAGGTTTCAAAAGTCATAGAAAGATTGAGTGTTAGTGCTAGAGAAGGCTTTAGAATGCAGCACATGGGGAAGCCAGAGTTGGAAGAGATGGTAGAAAATAACATAAAGGTGAGCCCTGGAAGGGATCTAGGAGAGGCCTTAAAATATAGAGCACGGAATAATACAACTGGCCACAGCCTTAGAGGTGGTGGTCTAAGTCAGCCATCTTACCTTTCTACTGCTGATTTCTGTGAGGGACACAATGGTGCACAGGCTCATCTGGAATGGGCGACATTTGGGGCTATATTTTGAATGGCCCGTTTCATCCAAGAGCTCAAAAGAATCTTGTTCTTCAGTGTGACTGAGGCCATCCTCATCCCCCCCCTCCTCCTCTTTGATATGAGTGTGTGTCTTTTCACAGGCCACTTCACTCACAGCCTGCTTTGACCCAATAGCCTCATTCAGTTCAGAGCACTCTTGGAGAGTTTCTTCCTTCTCTTCTAGGAAGCTGTCCATAGTTTCTGGCTTTTCATGCAAGTCTTGAGAAGAAGGCTGGGCCTCTGAGAGCTCCTGGGTGTGTAGCTGGGCTGGAGGGTCTGGTGAAATCTGACCACCACCTTGAAGGGTTGAGAGAGAGAAGGTAGAGACGTCAGGCTGGGAACAAGCAGTTTGGCTCAAACCTTGGGTCTTACTATTTAGTCCCAAAGAATAAGTAATGTGGACAGACTCTGTGGTTGGACCCTGCTGTCCATCGTCTCTCCATGTAGACATCTGAAGTCTGGAGTGATCCCAAATCCCTGAATCAGGAGACTGAAGGGACAGCCTCATCAAGAAGGTAGCTGGAACACTGTTGTCCTCTGGGATCTCTTGTGGCTGCAATTGGGGTCCCTGAGATGAAGATTTGGGTTCTTCTTGAAAGGGGATCCTGGAAGAGCCTCGCCACTTCCTGGCTGCTTCTGCCATATTGGTGAAAAATTTGAAGACGCCCCCAAAGTGTGTGGCCTTGTTAGTACTGCTTCCCTTTCTTGGTTGGCTAGGGCTTTCTTCGGGGCCTGCCTCAAAGTCCAAATACAGAGTTGAATTCCCTGTTGCATTCTCCACATCCTGGAAATTGCCTTCCGGGTCTGACTCAGTAGCCTTAGAGGTGTCTTTGCTTGCCAATGAGATCCCTTTCAAGTAATTCCAGACGTCAGAGGTCCTCCTTCGACGGTTATCCTGGGGGAGGGTCTGGCACCGCTTCCGACAGTCCCGGGCAGCCCTCAGGGAGTGAGATGCAACATTCAGATCTTCATTTTTTGTGTCTTCCAGCCCTCGAGGACGGATCTCTTCTGGGTCTTCATTTGTGTGCGTATCAGCATCCCGGAGACCCTTCCCAGCACTGGCTTCCATCTCAGGGCCTGGGGCGCTCAACTCCACATCTTCAAAACAGGACTCCAGGTCCTCTGTATGCCCAGCATAGGAGTGACGAAATGGCTTCTGATCTGACAACCTCTTGACTCTGTAAAGGTCCTTCTGCCAAAAGCCATCTTCTTGGTCAATGAGGCAGTCATGGATAGACTGGGCTTTGAAGCTCCTCTGAGTGGTACCCTTGGACAAACTGGAAGATGACCGGAGCCTCTTAATGGATTTCATTCGGTCCATGAAGGTGATTTTTGGTTTGTTCTCTGATGTCTTCACGGGGCCTCCAAGGACAATCATGGACTGAGGCCTCTTCCCCTGGCCCAGAGGCCCTTTCTTCCGGCTAACGAAATTCCAAATCTTGTTGACTTTAGCTTTCTTCTTAAGCCAGCTTGTTTCTTCTTTCGAACAACTGTCCACCATAGCAGAGAGCTCCAGGTCACTGAGCTCCATTGCACCAGCCACTTCTATCTCTGCACTGGTCTGGCTCAAGATCAGGCCTGCGTAGCCATTGGGTGCATGCTCAGACTGGGCATTAGGGCAGCCATCGAGGGGCTCCATGGTAACCAGAGAAGAAGCAAGGAAAGAGTTCTGAAGTCATGGACTGCCAGGTATTTCCTTTAAAGGGGGAAAAAGAAAAAGAAAAAGAAAAAGAAACGTATATTAGAGAGGGCAGCAAGAGCAGCTGTGTGAAATATACACAATGTCCTGAGCTCCCAGAATCCTCCCAGGACATTGGGATCCTGATAGTGTAGTACAAATAGCAATAGTAGCAAATCATCTTGCTATCGTGTTAGAAGTTTTTAAAAAAATAATATTAGCTGACATTTTCTCTAGCCTCTCACATTGCCCAAGCACTTTACGCATGCTATCTGATTTGGTCTTCCCAACAACTCTGGGAGGTAGATGCTATTATAAGCCCCATTTTTCAGATGAGGAAACCAAGGCAGGAAAGTGACTTGCCCAGGGTCACATAGCTAGTAGGTGTCTGAAGCCATGTTTGAGCTCAGGTTGTCCTGACTCCAGGCCCAGCATCTTATCAACTAGATCGGGAGTTCTCAAAGTTTTGGGACTCAGCACTCTATACTCTTAAAAATTACTGAGGACTTCCAAACAAGCTTTTGTTTATATGGGTCATATCTATCCATATTTACCATATTTGAAATTAACCCCTTTAGAGGGTCTCAGGGATTCCCAGGAGAACACAGACCATACTTTGAGAACCACTGACCTGGATCATTTAGCTACATCTCGAACAAAGCTCCTTCCTCACAATAATCCCATGAGGCAGGTAGCACAAGTCTGATTCTCCTCATTTTACAGATAAGGAAAATGAGTCATGGAGAGGTTAAACTCCCAATCACGTAGCTGGTGTCAGAAACCATGTGTAAACATGAGTCCCCAAGACTCCCAGGCCACTGCTCATCCCAGTCTCCCCTACTACCTCTCCCTGAAAGAGAAAACCCCACTCCAAGGCCTGCCTGGGTCATGGGGCTTAGAGTTGGAAGAGAACTGAGAACACCTCATTTTACAGTTAAGGAAACTGAGGCCCAAAAGTTAAGCAAATTGCTCAAAGTTCCACAAAGAGTAACAGAGTCAGGATTCAAGCCTGGAGCCTTCTGACTATAAACCCAATCTTCTCTCCAATGTGGCCCTAAGTCAGCCATCTACTAGCTATATCACAATAGGTAAATGACGGTTTCTCTGAATTTCAGTGTTCCCAGCAGGAAAATGGGAAAAATAATCCTTAGCTAGTGAACCTTACTGGATTATTACGAAGATTAAATGAGTTCATCGACGTGGCCTGGCTCAGAAAGGCGAGATTGTTGTTTTTATTGGCATTGTCATCCAGCAAAGCTTGGATAATTAAAACTTTACCAGTGTAGACATTTACTTTGGAGGAGGCTGGGCTAAAAATCAGCTCTCAAAAATGCAAACAGTCCCGAGAGGGGCAGACTCGATGTTATCAGTCACCGACACCTCAATGAGAATCAATTATAAGCCCCTACAATGTGCCAGGCCTAGGGGGTTACAAAAGGCCAAAAGTGAATGTTCTCAGGGTCAGTCACAGCCTTAATAAAAATTGGGAGAGTGGAGAGGAAGGGTTCTCAGATGAATCAAGGAGATGAAGACCCTCTGTTCCTGTAAGTCTCTCTGGGGAAAGCTCATACCCAAGGGAACAAGGTTTCCATTTGAGGAAAGCTTTCAATATGGCACCCTCCCTGAGGGCCTCCCCACACACAGACATGCACACCACGAGGCAGACCTCTGGAAGAGGCTCACAGGACCCCTACAGGGAAACCCTTCCTGATTTCACATTTCTGGAGGGAGTGAAATTCCATAACCCTTTTCAGGAACTGACACTTAGAAAAATGACCTTCACACGTAAAGCACAGCATGTCAGAGATAGGAAGGACCTTAGAATACAGAGAGTTGGAGCTGGGAGGGACTTAGGACAGAGTGTGTCAGAGCTGAGGGAGGGGGAGGGGAAGACACTTTAGAACACAGAATGTCAGAGCTGAAGGGAGAATAAGCTTTGTTTTAAGGGCCCTTCCAGTCTCCATTCTAAGGTCTCTGGACCGAGGGCATTTCTTTTAGGATCAGCTGAGTGCCATAGGAAAATCTCAAAGGCTTTAAGGGAACAGTAACCCACAGGCAGCCCAATTTTGCTTCCTTGCCTTAGGGAATCATGAAGGCCTTTTTCCGAGTTGGGCCCGGCTAGGGAGTGAAGGGCAAAACTTAGGCCAGGGGGTGGGGGAGTGGGGTGAGGTGAGGGGATGGGAGGGGGGTGGGAATCACACCCAGAGAACAAAGAGAAGTCTCCAGCAGAAGGGAGAACCAGGCCCTGGAGACTGACCCAGCACACTGGGGCAGCCGGCTTCTGCAGCCCCAGACAGAAGGAAGGGACACAAAAGAAGATGGTGAGGCCCACGCTGGAGTTCCTCTTGAAAAGAAGGGAAAGAGGAAACAGATGTTTCAACCTACAGAACCAGGATAATTGTTCCTCTAAGGTATACTGTCACCTCAGGGGACTGAACAAATAAACAATAGGCAGTTTGGACTGTGTCTCTGCGTGGTTTGGGTGCTGGCTGCCATTTGAGAGATAGGATAAGAAAGGTCTAGCTGGCAGCAGAAGAAGGCCTTGTGTGGCCAGTGAGAGGCAGGGAGCGGTCCAAAAAGCAAAGACTTTCAGAGCTGTTAGGGACTTTTAGCCACATTTAAGAGATGAGGAAACTGTCCCCAAGAGGTATTAGGGGAAGAAGGGAAAAAAATCCACCCTCCCACTCACTTCAGAGCTGAGGAAACTGAGTCTCAGAGACAACATAAAGCAGAAATGACCAAAACTATTTGAGGCCGGTTAAAAGACAGAAAAGTAGGTAAGGGGAACAAAAGTGAACAGCACAACCGAGAAGCAAACAAACATAGCCGTGTTCAAAGAACCCAGGGACACTGAAAATTGGCTGAGATACCAAAAGGCAGAAAGAATCAATGTTGGAGGGGCTGTGGGAAAACAGGTTCATTAACATACTGGCGTTGGGGGAGTTCTGGATCGCTCCAACCACTCTAAAAAGAATAACTCCAAAGAGTTATGTTTGAAAAGTGAATGAGTGGATTGTATCATGCTCTTTGTCCTAGACATCCCACTAAGTATATACCCCAAAGACTTCAAACACAGACAGAAAGGTCCTATATATGTCATGATATTCACAGCATAAATTCTTGTGGTAACAAGAACTAGAAAGTTGGTGCCCATCCACGGGGGAATGGACAAACAAGCTGTAGTATGTGAAACGTAAAGACATACTGCAGTACCACAATAACAAATGTGAAGAATTCAGAAAAAACATAGGAAGATTCATGAAGAAAACAGAAGAGAATGGGGCAGCCAGGTGGTGCAGTGGAGAGCACAAAGGGCCTGGGTTCCAATCCTGCTTCAGACAACAACTAGCTGCATGACTCTGGGCAAGTCACTTAACCTCTCTGTCTCAGTTTCCTCATCTGTAAAATGGGGTTGTTGTGAAGATCAGATGAAAAGATGTTTGTAAAGTGCTTTGCAAACCTTAAATCACTCTATCAAAGTTTATCAAGAGCACGATAAGTATAGCAAAAGGCAGCTGAACTCAGACTCCAAAGCTAATGGACGTCCTCCCCTTCTCTTGGTAGAGAAGCGAGGTGGTGGACTCTAGGTACTGAATGTTAAATACATTGTCAGACATCAGATGTCTCTGTACCCAATGTTTTTGCTTATCTATTTTTCATTGGGACAAGGAAGGGGAGAGGAGTATTGGGAAATCTCAAAAGCAAAAAGGATGAAAGGCATCAGAGAAAAGAAAGACTATTGGAAGCAGGGCCTCAGTAGCTGGGGCAGGGAAAAAGGATGGGGCCTATAGTCAGAAATCCTCAATCCTGACCACTGACAAGTCAGAGGACCAAGTCATTTCCCTTGAGTGCTTAGTAAGTCTCAGTTTCCTCCTCCCTAAAACAGGGATCACAGGACTTGCCCTTCCTAATCCAACTGGGCAATGACAAAGAGAAAGCTCTTTGGAAACTCTTGAGCCCTAGAGAAATGCACCTTCTTATTGTCACACAAGTTCCTTCAAGAAGCATGAATTAAGCACCTGATTTGTGCTTGGCTTAGACTTGGGGATACTACGATGATAAACAACTCAATTTCTGCCCTCCAGAAGATTAGGGAGGGTGTGAAGACACAGGCACAAGACTCAGCAGTCAGAGAAGAGAATGGAGTGGGTTCCAGAATAAAGGGTGGCATTTCCCCCCCCACCTACCCCCCCCAACCTCAGTAGGGTTGCAGAGGGCACCTTGAGGTCCCAGTGACCTTCTTTTGTGATGCCATCGGTCAGCCAGACTGACAGGGAGCCTGATTCCATGGGACTATGGGAGTTGCTTGAGGCAGCCCTTGAGTAATCCGCATGGGTGGCCCTGAATGCTACACACAAGTGGCTCAGCCCTGGGCAGCAGGTCTCTCAGTCTACCTCAAGCCAAGACAGACTGTCTTATCCTATCTCTATTGTTCTTACTCCTACTTTGAAAGCCCGGATCCTTCCCTACCCTGAGCCCCACTCCCTCATCCCCTCCCTGCTCCACCCCTGCTGGCCTCTGCCCTTAGTCTGTATTTCCTCTGATGCCTGGAATAGCTCTCAGACAAAGGCAAGGAGCCCGGACGTCCTTCTGGCTCATATCCTTTTGTCTAAAAGGGGCCACCAAAGCCCTCCCCCACCAGCAGGCAGAAGTCTCAGGAGCATACAACACTCCAAAGTATAAAGGTATCAACATCACAGCTAGACAACCAAATGGCAGGCCTGGGAGGGCCCTTTAGAACACAGATGCTCAAAGCTGAGGGGACCTTAGAACCTAGAATGTCATAGCCAGGAGGGCCCTTCAAGATCATCTAGTCCAATTCCTACATTTTATAGAAGGGGAAACAGGCCCATAGAGGAGAGTGACTGGCCCAAGGTCGCATGGAGAGTCAGTGGCACCACCAGGCCTAGAACCTAGCTTTCCTGATGCTCAGTCTCGGGCACTTGCCAATACACCAAGTTTCTACTTTCCAGCTTGGGGGGGGCAGTCTGAGAGCAAACATGAAATCAACCAATAAG